GGCATGCCCAGGAACGGCTTCTTCTTCTTGTTCATAGCGGCGGCGTCGACCCACACAGAAGAGGGCCGCGAAGTAACCGCGTAGCACGGAGGACTTCTCGGCGACGTATTGCAGGAAGCGTCGCGGCCTTCGCGTCACCTGCGCCCCGGAAGCAAAGCTGTGGCCGCGCGAAACCCCGCCCACCCGGACACCCCGGCGGAAGTTTGAGTGGCGGCACTTCCGGCCGCTGTTGCTGGGTAGGCCCGTGACTGACGTTCGGAAAAGCGCTGTAGCGCCACCCTGTGGCAAGGCGGGGGTGCCGGCGGGCCCCCGGGGTCCCAAACCCTGTAGTGGCTGCTCGAGAAAGCTCCCAAGCTTCCTGAGACCTGTGAACGCGGGGCCGGGGCCGTACTGTGGGCGGCCCTGCGAGTGCTGCACGCTGCTACCTGGCCTTGGCCGGCCTCCCCACTTCCGATCTGTCAGGCTGTGCGAGCCCTCCCTGGAGTTCTGACCGCTGGTCTGCACGGCAACGCTGTGCGGATGCCGCCCCTCTGGGGCGCTATAACAAATGAATGCAACACTGATGTACTCGGGCAGGCGTCCCAAACGTGTAACTTGCTTGCGATCTGGACGGGACGGGCGCGTACCACTGCACTTTGCGCGCATTTCTTTAAGTCCGGGTGCAGCAATGCTCCTGCCTCTGGACACCGCCAACCCCACTCTATACCCGGGGAGGTGGGGCGGAGCAGACGGCACAGTTGGTTGCAGCCTGGCCTTCCTCTGGCTGGACGAGGCAACCACAGTTCCGCACCCAGCACTTCTGCTGCGGCCTGCTTCTCGATTCTGCCTGCTACAGCCTTGGAATCCTCTCCCCATCCTCAGCCAAACCCCTTTCCGTTCTTAGCATCGAGCTCCGCCCCGGGCACTGAGCCAGATTCAGGGGCTACACAGGACGGCGGTGTGCGGCCCAGGCGCTCTGCGTGTCGTGGAGGGTGAGCTAGGGCCAAGCTGGCTTCTCCAGGCAAGCAGGTGCCCATCTGCAAAAGAGACCTGAGAAATCTGGAGAATGTCCTGTACAGAATGATTGCGTGAACTCGCGACAGCATAGCAGAGGGCAGTGTTTGGGAAGGGGTGGTCTGGCCCTGACCCGGACTCGGGTAGGTAGAAGGTTCCTACCTCCCCCCCGGAGGGTAGGTAGAGTGCCCCCGCCCACCCCCAGCACGGAGAGGACAGACAGCTCCTCGCTTGCCCGCCTTAGCCGGCTTTCGGCAGGTGCAAGGAAGCCGGCGGCGGAGCGGGACCCCACTGCACGCGC